AATTATTCAATAAGGTGATAACACTCATTTCACGGTGTATTTTGCAATGTGTACGTTATATATGGAAACGTTTTATTGTATTGTGATTGCGTATGGAATGGATAGACAGATTTGAAATAATAAATCTTTAACATGTTGTATGATGCATGGCAATTTCAGCAGAATCAAGTGATGTCATAGTTCAAGCTTATTCTGTTAATTCCATCAACAAATCATGATATTGATCGACTGTTTAGTGTGAGGTTTTAAAACGCTGAAGCGTAGTTGTCAATAGGGGTCAAAGTTGGCGCAAGCACAGAGTGTTTTATGATCTTGTGTGATTTTGTCTTCGGAGTTACAAAGTTATTCCCAATAATATTCAGTCTTTGGGGTCAAAGTATTCACTGGCCTGATGTTACTGGTGTTTAAACACTGGCTTAAGCTCATGATGTTTGGCATCTGCTCGAGTGAAACATGATAAGAAGTAACTACGCATTCATTCCTCTTTAAAAGCAGTTGAGTCAGAGAAAACAGTCTATCACGTTGAAATGCGTTTGTCATGAAAGATCGTGAAATTTTTCGGGGATGCATTTCATTCATTAAAACAGTGAAAAGAAATTAGCACACATGACTTACATTAACTATGAGCTCGACACATCGATTCTTTCTACTATTCATTACTCAACAGTTACCAGTCGCATAATTACGACGACCAATATGAAAATATTCGATATCTTCGATGTAGGGACGTGCATTTTTTGATGATTTGTTTAAGGAGCCCGTACTTGCTATCGTTGGCAAACGTATTGCAAAATTAACCCGCCATAGGGGGTGTCATCAGTGTTGTGTGTCTCAGAGAGGTTGCAGCGGTAGTCAGTATATATATGCAAATGATGCCGTTATGGACCATTTTGTGTGTTTAGTGCTGTGGCAATAAGTGGAGCAAAGGATTTTCTGCAATGTCAGGACGTGGTAAAGGAGGCAAAGGACTAGGAAAAGGAGGAGCGAAGCGGCATCGCAAGGTATTGCGTGATAATATTCAGGGGATCACGAAGCCAGCTATACGGCGCTTGGCAAGACGAGGCGGCGTGAAGCGCATCTCTGGTTTGATATACGAGGAAACCCGCAGCGTGCTGAAGATATTTCTGGAAAATGTTATTCGAGACGCAGTTACTTATTGTGAACACGCCAAAAGGAAGACCGTTACTGCTATGGACGTAGTCTATGCATTGAAACGACAAGGCCGTACACTCTATGGTTTTGGTGGTTGACTGATGCTTTAATCAGCAATAAACCCAACGGCCCTCATCAGGGCCACAAATTAATGAACCGAGCATTTTCCTATTTTCTATCATGTTCTGTGTACAACATACAATTAAAACTTTACACTACGTAAGAAAAGACGAAAAGTATTTTTTGTAAGTAAATCACAATGCATGACGTTACCCTCAACTTAAGTGAATCAAGTCGTAAAGTAGTAACATTTACACAGTCCTAAATCAGGTGTAGTGTAAAAACTGCACATGTTCAACGAGCAGGTTCACGTCGTGATATAAGGTTTTAAAAGTCAACCGGAAATAAGTCAAGTTTACGGTTTTTTGCAGAGCACAATAGTAGTCACACTCAACATGGTTGACGCGAAATTTAGACAAACTTTCCTCTTTTCAATGCATATTTTGTTCGGTACTTTTAGCAGGGCAAATTTGGGGAAATTCTTGAGGCAGTTGTGAGCTTGACATTGAGAATATGCTGCGAACTTTATGCCCAGCACCTTCCGTCTTTTTTTGCAATTAAATGAAATATGTCAGGTTGCT